ACTGTGATATTGGACAATAACTGAATGCTATGGTCTCAGTTCCTTCATTTGTAATTCCCAGGTATATGAGGCTGGTCGCGTATCTGGTGCTGAAATCACTTTGCAGTTTTCCAAATAATCCACCAGTTTAATACCCCATCGTTCCTCTGCAGACATTTAATTCTGGAGCCTTTCTGGGTTTTGTCAACAAGATCAACTTCCTTCCGGTCCTCTTCATCTAAGAGCTTGAGTCTCAGCTTTCTCCCAACATCTACCTTAGTAACTAGTTATCCAGCTCCTGTCCAGCTTCCTGAATTATGTGGCTGTTCTCTCTCTCTCTCTCTCTTTTATTATGTGATCTCTTTCTCTCTCTTTATTTGTAGATTTATGTGTTTTTCAAATCTTATTACTGTCATTATCTCATGCTTAGGAAAAAATAATACATATTATAAAAACAACATTAGATTGCACACAAATCCCTGACTGGAACCATTTAACATGCACATACATGAAATTATTTTTTTCAAAGATCATTCACAAGGCAGTAATGAATCTCTTTGACCATCAAATGGAATATCTGAATCCGTTTTGCTCCATGGGTAGCAAACTGCATGTGTAGAGCTGCAAGTGTGAGCACAGGCCTGAGTGAGGAGAACCCCCAGCTCACTGCACACTCGTGCTGGTGGAGTGAAACAATATGGGGAAGAGCTGCTGGTCAACCTCCAAACCAGGTCTCCATCATTATTGTCACAAATAGCAATGGGAAAAAATTCTAATATTTTCAGTAATGATCCTGTGGCTTTAGCTAACTCTGAATAGTTAGAAACATAAGGCACAGAAAAAAGCAAGGTCAAAATTTGACTCATCTGCTCATTGCTGCAACACAACACTTCATGGCATTTCTCACCATAGAATAAAAAATGGACTTTGCTTATACTGGAAATATACGAATAGGTGGAGAGTTTACTCAACAGCTAATAGCATGTTTACTGGTAAAAGACTACATACTGTTCCCTAAGACTGGGAACAAAGCAAGAATATCCACTCACCACTCTCCCTCAGCATCCTGACACGTTGTAGCCGGTGCAATAAAGCAAGTAAATGTAAAGACAATGTCATAGGTCAGGAAAGGGTCAAACTGCACTATTTGAAGACAACGTGATGATCTTTGTAGAAAATGCCAAAAAATATACCAAAACCAAACCAAAACAAAAGCTCTTAGAACCGTTAAGTGAGTTGAGCAAGGTCACAGGAAATAAGATAACCATACAAAATTAAATGTGTTTCTAAATACCAGCAATGAACATGCAGACACCTAAATTTAATATATAATACCATTTACAGTGGCTCAATAAAGATCCCAAGTGCTAAGGTATAAATCTAAGAAAACATTCACAGGACCTTCATGCTAAAACTATAAGACAGTGATACTCAAAAATTGCAAATCACCAATTGCTCTAGCTGTCATCCTAGAAAGACCTTCTTTTACTCTTTGGAATGACTTTGTCACCTTTGGAAAATAATCAGTTGATGAAAGATGTACATGTGCCTATCTGAGATTTTGACGCTGTTCATTGACAGCTTTATTTCTAACTCACACCAGCAGACCTTTCTGCCTTAACTACTGGGACTTCATAGAGGTTTTGAAGTCTGGAAATGCAAGTCCAGCTTTCTTTTTCTTATTCAAGGTTTAGTCTTTGCATGTCCACATAAGTCATAGAATAAGCTTCTACTACAAAAGGTTGCTAGTAATTTGATTGGATTATATGAAATTTATGGATCCACTCAGGATAATTGGCATCTGAATATATAAAGTCCTTAGATTCATATAATATTCTATTTATGTATGTAGGTCCTCTGTAATTTCTTTTCTTAACATCAAGATTTTGTATAGAGCACTCACATGCCTTATATTAAATTAGTTCCAAAGTATTTGATAAATGGTATTTTAATTTCATTTCCTCATGCTTTTGACTAGAATCCAGAAATAAAATTGATGCTTGTGTTTAGTGACTTTGTTAATGTCCCTATTAGTTCTAGTTCTTACAGTTTGTTTATAGATAATTTTGTAGTTTCTACAAACAGAAACGTGTCACCTATGAATAAAAATGGTTTAACTTCTCCCTTTCTTGATATAATTTGTGTTCTTTCCTTTTCCTGATTAGATGCCAGACCGTCCAGTAAAAACAGTGAATGTAAGTAGTGGTACTCTAGCTGTCTCATTCGTGACTGTGCAGGAAATGATACTGACTTAGAAAATATATATATTTATATATAGTCGATATATAGTCAGTTTACAATGTTGTGTCAATTTCTGGTGTACAGCTAAAAGCGTCAGTCATAGATGAACATGCATATATTCATTTTCATATTCTTTTTCACTATAAAGATATTGAATATACTTCTGTTTATCTATTTTATATGTATATTAGATCATATCTGCAAGTCTCGAACTCCCAATTTATCCCTTCCTCCCCTTTAACCCCCCTGTAAACATAAATTTATTTTCTGTGTCTGTGAGTCTGTTTCTGGTTTGTAAATAACTCCATTTGTCTTAGTTTTTAGATCCCATGTTTAAGTGATATCATATGGTATTTTTCTTTCTCTTTCCAGCTTACTTCACTTAGGGTGACAATCTCCAGGTCCATTCATGTTGCTACAAACGGCATTTTCTTTTTTATGGCTGAATAGTATTCCAATGCATAAATATACTGCAACATCTTTATCCAGTCCTCTGTCACTGGACATTTAAGTTGTTTTCATGTTGTTACCAAAAATATTGACTTTTGATATTTTCACTGATACCCTTTATTAGATTCAGGACTCTATCTTCTATTTCTCAGTTGATGAGAGAATTCTTCATGTAGAGGTGTTAGCCCTTTATCAAATTCTCTCAATTTTCTGGAAGTCAGTTAAGTACATTACTTTGGTATTCACCAAGCCAAGGAAGATGCTCTCAGCTGACATGGTCTTAGAGACGTGATCCTCTAAAATTAAAAATCTCTGAAAAGAACAGTAGATTAGAAAAAGTTGCTTTTAGATTTTCCATAGTCATACACAGTATTTTTTGCTTTTCAATATTATTTTAAAAGAGTTTGTCATGATCGCTACCATCTTATAAAAAAAAAAAGTAAAAACCCCAACAAACAGAAGAGTTATTGTTAATTACTTTGCTTTTGCCTTTTGCTAATATAATAAAATAATACATTCCTACAAACTTTAAATAATTCAGTTTTTATTTGTTCTTATTGTTTCAGCAGTACTGTGTTGGCTTGTGTGTGTGTGTGTGTTTGTGTGTTTTTACACAGAACGGGATACAGTGAATACTGATGAATATATGTTAACTGAATAAATCATGATTAGTATGGCATTTACTCCCATACATTCAGTTTAAGTGTTAATTTTCCTCTATCCTGGGCCTGGGACGTTTCTATTTTGTCTATTGTTGAATTTTGTCCACAAATATAACCCTCCATTCATCCTGTTGGTGTCTTTTGTTTAATATGTTTTCCATAAAATTGAAAGATTGTTTTCAGAATTATGAGTTTTTCAGTATAACTTCTTTGACTATTGATGGATAATGACACATCCTCTTATTCAGGAAACAGGTAACCCCTGAGTGCCTAGGCTGTATCAACCCCTCTTATAAACACTGAGTAACCTTTAACTACGGGAAGGTTTGAAGTAATCTTTAAATATGGGGAGGTTGGAGACAAAAGGAAAATTAAAAGAGAAGCCGAAAACTGAGAATCATAATGAGGAATATTTCTGAAATAAAGCAATCAAAGTAAATCAAAATAAATAATCAAAATCTTCTTAGAGGATTGTAGGACCAAGCAAACAAAGATGAGCAAAGAGGTATTAACAACTAAGATATTTCCCTTCAAACTTGAGGAGTCTCTCAAAAGCTGGCTGGCTGACGTGGCCTGGGGTTAGCGCTTCAGTGTATTTATTCAGTCACAAGGGGGGGCAGCTTCATCTGCAAACTTAAGGATCCTCTCTGGGAGAGGGAAGGAAAGATGATGTTTGCCATTGATGTTCCACAGGAAAAGGAAAAATGACACACTTTCATCTTCCTTACACACCTTATTATTTATAATCCCTCGGTGAGTGTGAGATCAAGCATTCAGGGGATTCAGGGACTCTTAGCCTAGATTTTCCATGTACCTCCCCAAACACTGCTTTCCCTGTTTATCTTCCCTAATGATCCCTCGTCCTTTCTATTCCATATATTCATTTTCTTTCCTCTCCTAACTCTTTCTACCACCCCCATCCACCCACCCCCTGTCTTGCTACTTTCCCTTCAGTCTTTTCCCTCTGCCTCAGCGTCCTTGGTGCGCAGCACTTACAAGTATGGGCACAGAGGACATGAGGATTAAGGACCCCTGTTCCAGAAGGACGAGGGGCACATGATGCATGGCGTCAGTTACTACATCACAACAGATGCATTGAGACATGTCGACCTCGATGGTGGTACATGCATGATTCCAGGGACCTTTAGAGGAACCCTGAGCCCCAGGACATTTACAACTACTCTCAATGTTACTAATTTTTCCTGTCCCCCTGAGCACATCACTGCCTACTTGTGAACCTCACACACATTTTCCAGAATGTGGATGGAAATTTCACCTCCTTCCAACACAGAACACAGTGTCATCTTCTGGGGTTTAACAACGTTCTGTAGGAGCTTCATGGAGCATCAGCCAGTTTCTTTCAGGAAGAGATGTTGGGACAGTGCTTGTGGACAGACATATCATTGTGATGGTGCTCCTTATCCTGAGCCTGACTTTAAACTTCTCAGATGAAGACAGTGGGCAGCCTGTGAACTGGGGGTGTCTGATATTCCCTCCTTCTTTTAGGGATGTGACTGGAGCAGGGGAGGAAGACCTAGACAAGGAACTCCTCCCTCATGGGCTGACAAGTCCTGGCAACAGCACAGTGGTGGCTCCACTCCTTGTAAGTCTCTATGAGCAGCTGTCACTTCTGTTCCCTGGAACCTCTTTAAGCCTAAGATGAGACACAGCTCTGGGCTCCTGATCCCAGCTTGTCCTTGAAGTATGAGGCTGGTGACTGGAGTAGCTGTGCTTCTGACCTGGGGTGAGTGCTCTGTGTCCACAAGGGGTGACTCTGAGGTCAAGGGGCCATGAAGGCTTATTCGCTCTGCACTCCTCGCCCTGTGCTCTGTTCAGCCTGCTGGGGATGACACTGAGGACTGATCTCTTGGTTTGCTGGGGAGCAGGAAATTCTACATG